TCACTTTAAAATATATAATATGTAATGATCTATAAAATAAAACAAAATATTACCTGCAATCCAAAAAAATAAAAAATTATTTACACAAATTACTCAAATTATTATCTCAAATTCTCCTTAATTACTTTATCTGATTTTTTCTAATAATTAGATTAAAATTCTAATGAGTTCTAAAGATTATTCTAGGAATATATATTAAGATTCTTAAAATTATTTTTATGGATATTTTAAAATCTTATATCTAAAATTATATTGTTTTATTTGATTGTTTGATGTTGCATGATTTAACTCAATGTATTTTTCAGTGCATACCAATCTCCCACGGGCGGGAATCAGGTGAGTGTTCATTCTTTCTTATAAATGAGCCATCTAATTTGAATTTCAAATTTTAAAATAAAAGACATGCACACTCTTATTTTATATTACCTTTATACGCAAAAAAATCTATGTCACGTTATCTAATTTTGAAGCAGCAGCAACTGACAAAAAAAGAAAATTTTAGAAGCATAGACATAACTAAAAAAAGAACTTATTAGGAATAAAAAAAAAACAAATAAACCCACCCGTGTTAGCATGGGTAAAACACTTTTATATAAAGAGAAAATAGGTGGCACTTCTAAAAACACAAAAAATTAACACGTGTCATACCAAAAAAATTGATAAGTGGATACACCTTATCCTATCAGAATGCAACATACAGACACATAATACTATATTTACCTAAGATCCTCATCAAATTAAATCTATGCAAAATTAGCAAATTCTAATTATAATCAAAATTTAGCAATCTTAATCAAATCATTACTACATATATTTAAAAAAATATAACCATATTTTTAATTCTCTTTTCCTGTTACATATAAAAGAGATATTAGTAGTATAGTAGCCTTAAATCTCAAAAAATTTCGTCTCCATTACTATTTTTTTAAAAGGCTAAATTTTACTAAATCTTCAACAAATTTTGGTGTTTTAGTATTAAACTCGCAAAATTTTTGAAATTCACTAAACTTGAGATAACAATATTTTATTTATCTCTCCTTTATCTATACGACTTATAAGAATCTTTGTTGAGGATAGGCAAAGGGGAAGGAATGATTGAAGATTCCTCAATCATTAGTTGAGTTTTAAGGAAAATTTATGATTTTTGTTGGGCAAATTGCTAATTTTGAGTCGAGAGGACATTTTTGTAAATTTATTCTCTCATTAAATTCATCCTCTCTCACTCTAGAATATTCTATTATTTTTATTCTTCAATCTCTTTTTCAAATTCAAAATTTCATGCATAATCCATAAAATATATATATATATTATATAATATATATTAATATATATATATATATATATATATATAATGAGATTAATGGGTATCCTTGTCATAGGAGAGGATTTACTCTTTGATGCTCTAAAATCACATGATTGAGCGACATTATGGATGATGCCGCTCCGTTGAACTTGATCTACTATTCTAAAACCCCACAGACACAAGTTGGGGTGAATCCGTCGTCGTTTGATCCTCCATCGAGCCATGTGAAAAGTTCTATTCATTCAAAACACGTTAAATATTGATACGAGTGGATGAAGGGTCAAACGACGACGGGGTTTACCCCAAACTTGGTGTGTTGAAGTTTTAGAATATGTAGATCAAGTTTCACGGAGCGGAATCATCCATAATGTCGCTCAATCATGTGATTTTAGAGGCGTATAAGGAGGAAATCCCCTCGCTATGAAGGATACTCATTAATCTCTCTCTCTCCGTCTCTCTCTCTCTCTCTCATATATATATATATATATATATATATATATATATATATATATATATATATATATATATATATATATATATATATATATATATATATATATATATATATATATATATATATATATATATATATATATAGGGAAAAGTGTTCCTAAGGTGACGCCTTAGATAATCATCTAAGGACACGACCTAAAATCACATGATTAAGCTACATTATGGATGATCCGCTCAGTTAAACTTGATCTACATATTCTAAAACCCTAACACACCAAGTTTGGGGTGAACCCGTCGTCGTTTGACCCTTCATCCACTCGTATCAATTTTAACGGTTTTGAATGAATAGAACTTTTCACATGGCTCGATGGGGGTCAAACGACGACGGATTCACCCCAAACTTGGTGTGTTGGGGTTTTAGAATAAGTAGATCAAGTTCAACGGAGCGGATCATCCATAATGTCGCTCAATCATGTGATTTTAGAGGCGTCAAAGAATGGATATGTTTAGTACCAAACACCAAATGTGATGTTTAGTAGTAATGCTGCCACTTTTTATCGCTCATTTAATGGGCGGGTACTCAAATTGTCTCATTTTTTAATGGACACCTTTAAAAGTGTGGATTAGAATCATCCACGTTGCTACCAAAGCACCGATTTTGTGCTTGGTACCAAGCATACTCATTATTCTCAGATAATATATAACCACAAATATATTTTAAGAACTAAATATATTATACTTTTCATAATTATGGTAATAAAATTATAAAGCTAGATGAATTTTCTCATATAGATAGTTGTTGTTACATCAATCTAAAATTAATATATCCTTATAATACAACGTTAAATGATAAGAATTTTCTTATTAATTTGATCACGTGAATTATTCATGTACATATTTTACTACAGATCATATAAATACACATTAAATAATGATAATATCATTAACATGGAGGACCGAGAATTGTTTAGATTATAAATTGATGTTACTACCACGTGCTAATTTGCTAGTATATAGAGAAATTGATGGTACTACTCAAGACACAAAAAACTAACATGTATCATACAAAAAAACTAACATGGAGACCTATTATCCTATCAGAAGGTGACATGCATGTGGATACATAATCTTATCCATAATTAAATCTATCCATAATTAGTAAATTGTAATTATAATTAAATATTAGCAATCCTAATCAAATAATAACTATTCATCATTAAAACTCTAATTAGCACATTTTAATTCTCCTTTCCTTTGAAAAATAAGAGGACTTAGTGATTTACTATTAGCCTTACATCTCAAAAAAATTGCCACATGTTCCTCCTTAATTTTATGACTAGATTTCACTAAACCTCCAAGAAGTTTAGACATTTTATTACTAAAACCCTAAAATTTTGAAAATCTAATTAAACGTGCAATAATAATCCCTTCTTTATATAGAAAAACTGATTAGTGGTTCACTGTTAATATTACATATCAAAAGAATGCCACGTGGTCCTTCTTAATTTTTAAAGAGTTAATTTCACTAAACCTCCAATAAAGTCGGTTGTTTGGCACTAGGCCCCTAAATTTTTTAAAACTCGTAATAAGTTTGAGGATTTTAAACAACCCACAAAATATTTTGATATTTTGCACTTACCCCACATAATAGCATAATCCCATAATTTTACACTAACAAACATTATCCCCTAAAACTAGTATATACCTCTCAAATCATTTCTATTTGTAGTTTAACCCATAAAGTTACAAACAACGCCCTTAAAATAGAAAAATTACAAACAATCCTCTTAAAACTTGGAACAACAACCAACCCTTCTGAAAAATCTAAAAATTACAAATAACCCCTTTTAAGTTCAACAAAAATTGTAGACAACTCTGTAAAATGCTAGAAAAAGTACAAACAAATCCCTAAAAATATGAAATTTACACGCAACACCCTAAAGATCTAAAAGTTAGAAATAACCCTTGGAAAATCTAAAATTGTGAAAAGCCTTTAAAAAATCTAAAAATTACAAGTAGACGATAAAAGTTTAAAAGATATGACCAACCACACTAAAAATTTAAATATTACAAATAGGTCCTTTCAAAAATGAAAAATTACAACAACCCCCTTTAAAAACTAAAAGTTACAAAAATATCTTCAAAATTTCAAAAATTATATACATAACCCTAAAATTATAAACATTTGTTATTGGAGGTTTTCTACGAAAATTTATTGCAGTTTAAGTGATAAAACAAAAATCTTATTGGACTTTTTTTAGATATAATCTAGTGGGGGTATCTTGGTTATTTTGACCGTACATGAACCAACCATGCTAATTTCGGAGTATGTTGTAATTTTTTTTTGGGGTTGTAACTGATTTGGCAGGGGTTTTGAGGAGAGAAGGTGAGGTGAGGGGAGGTGCAATGAGGTGGAGGGATAGATATCCCTTTTAACCCTTTATGTTTGGTTAGAGAAGGTGATTTAGTATTAAAAGTTTTTATTATCTTAACGTTTTAATATTATAAAAATAGAGAAATATTATAAGGATGGCATTGGCGGTTTAGTCATATAATAAGAATTGCAATTTTTGAAATAAATGCCATTTAAGCCCTTATTCTGTATCTCTTTGTAAGGAAAAAGCACTAGCTCAAAAGTTATCTAATTTTAAAGAAACAACAACTCAAAGAAAATTTTAGTACAAAACAGGTTTTAGAAACATGATGCTTGTACGAGCACGGACATAATGCTTGTACACTTGATTAATATTATGTGACCACAGTCAAACCATTTTCTAATAGGAAAATAATAGAGGCACACCCCAACCATAACTCCAACCACACCCCCTCTATCATTCGCTACAGTGCACCGGACCCCACATGAGATTTTAAATTTTTAAAATCCCATATGGGGCCCGGTGCACTGTAGCAAATGAGAGAAAAGGTGTGGTTGGAGTTGTGGTTGGGGGTGTGCCCCTAGTGCCACCCTTTCTAATAATTACTCAACCAGGGGAGGGTGTACCCAAATTACTCATCACTAAAAATGTCATTTAACACTTAACTTCTCTCTCTTTCGAAAAAACAAACTTTAATTCCCTCCAAACAAAAACTCATCTAATTCCACAAACTCCGACGGTGCACCCACATCCTCACCCTAACCAAAAATCACGGGCCCTACAGCAGGGTGCAATCATTACTCAGTACACCAACTGAGTCCACTCTCAGAAATCTTTTCCCACCAATAAAACATCAGAATCCACACTGGATTCAGACACCTTGGTCAACAAAAAAAGATCAAGCTGAGGAGTTACTTCCCAACCAAAAATTTCCTAAATTATATCCTTTTTTAATTATTACATGAAACCCTCGAATAGTTTTTTCTTGATAATCTCTCACATTGTTGAAAGAAAATAAAAATAAAAATCGTGCTGCCAACAACCCTTAGTGTCTGCCCACCAACTGGCAACTGTTTGTTAAAATTCCCCAAGGAAAACCCAATTTGATTTGGGAACATCGAATGATCTCAAACGAATGATCTCAAAATGGCTCTGAAGGCAATTGTGGGCCTCGATGGGGGATTTCAGCAGTTGGGTATGAGGGATTTGATGAAGAATGGGCATTTGGGTGGTGGGTCTTTGCGCCGGAGATTGGAGGTCTCTAAGTTTGGGAGATTGGAGTGTGAAGGAGTTAAGATGAAGCCTGTGGATGGTGATGAGAATGTGGAGGTGAAGAAGAAGGAGATGGGAAATGGCGGTTCGGGTGAAGAGCTCAAGAAGCGGAGCAGGGATTCCACTACTCTTCCAAGTGGGTTTTTTCTCTTGGTATTTCTTTAATTCATGTTTTGTAGATGTAGTTGTTGATTGTATAGTTTGCATATATATATATATGTTAATTTGTTTAATGTGAAGTCTCTGATTTTTTTCCCATTGTGTATGGTAGGTAAACTCATTGTTAGATATGGCAAGATCTGAGTCTAATGTAGCATCCAACTTTGTGGAAAGTAATGTATGTTTGATGTAATGAAAAAACTGTCTTAGCTGGCAAATGCATTTGCTTCATGCTTGAATTTTGCTTTGATAATTAAAAGGTATGGGATTGAAATTTTACCATATTGAGGAGGAAATATGAAATTCTTTTTTTCCCCTGCCGCATCCAGTTCATTAGGTTCGCATGCCATGAAGTTTTTAGGATTTCATAAATATAGTAATGTATGTTGATTGCTGCTCTTGTTTTGAAGGCCAGAGAAGGATTTTTATGTCAGCTACAAATAATTGGGACATTGCTTTTAGTATTAATCAGTTGGAAAAGTGTTCAATACATGTTCTCGTGTTGAAATGTCTCATGCATATAATCAGATTTGGGGGACAGACCTTTTAGTTCAGTTTTGTTAAAATAAAATTAGGAGTGCAATTGGTTTCATATATATTGGTTTTGTGATTAAGTGCATGATTAAATAAGATCAAAAGAAAGAGTCCATTTGATAAAATTGGATCATTAAAGTAGTGATTAACAGTCTATCTGATCATACATCTCCTGAATCAAGTCTTTGTAAAATTACCGTCTATTGGTATCAACTTCCATGGTTTACAGGGCATCAAGTTGATTTGGGGAACAAAGATCTTATTGGTTTATGTCCACTGAAACAGGTAAATTTTAATCATGCTATGTGCAGGGAACACTAGCTAAGAAAGAGTCTTGTGGGGGTGAAACTAGTCTGCCTCTTCAACCCATGAAGAAAGCCAAACAACTCATAGGTCCACGTACAGTCTCGTCAAGGTGCAAAGTCGGTTGTTTGAACTTGACCTGACTCTGACCAAAATGCAGTGCTTAGGCTCAACCAGATACAAGCCAAAGTAAATACTGGAAACCTATAAACTAGATCGTGCACGGTAGAAAGCAGTACCGGAAAAGAAACCATTTATAGTTTTGTGGGGTCACATATTAGAGGAAAGTGATTTAAATTGAATCCTATTTAACAAGGATTTTCATTTAGAAATGGGAGGTTGATGTATGCAGAATTGTCTTCATTTAGTTGTGACCTCTTTTAATGCACCTTGTGAACTCGTTTGAGCACCGTGATTTCAAACTAATTATTAATAATGCTAAGTTGGACTTGGGCGAGAGTTTTGATTGATATTTTTTCTAATATGTTTGAGATTGTAGCCTATAGTTGTAAAGGCAAAATTCAACTAGAATAATAGTTTTTTTGCTAGCTAATTCTATATCGATGTTTATAATAAGGAGGATATGCATGGTGTTGTAATAATGCTGGTGCTGAGATTGACAAGCGTTTCTTCTTCTGTGTGGCTTTGGAAACTTTCTTGGTGCAACTGTAAAGAAACTCTGATGCATGTCTACAAAGCAAGGATATTTATTGTGAAGTCATTCCGGACATTTGTTTACGATATGTCCTTTCACGTCATTTTGTTTCATATGTACTCCTTTGAAACATTTATTTTTGTGTTTCCATGAAAGCCTTTGTTTCTACGTGGTGCGACTCCCTCCAATCTTCATGTACCAATATAGCTACAGCTCTAACGAGGGTTTAAGAAGGAAGCTTGAGACATATTTAAAATTTTCTTCGCACTTATGAGATGTCTATATGTAAGAAAACATTAAGATCCTTACTAATTTGACAAGTTTTACTAAAAGTAGAAAGAAAATAAAAGATAATCTTAACTGATTTAAATCTGTTGTTTCTAATCAGGCCATAAAAGTAAAAACAATAAAAATCTGAATAGGTCCAACCAAAGACTCAGTCATATGATGCCTCTTACATGTTTAGCAGTTATTTGATTCTCTAAAATAGTATTCAATTATGTGAGAAAGGTCTTTTACAAGTGCAATATGACACCAAGGTGTCCGATGCATAACCATAAATTTTTTTCTAACCAAACATAGTTCCAACAATTTTTTTCCTCGAAGTCCATCGGCTTAAGAGTGTCTTAGACTCTCAAATGTAACACACGTGCATGCAAGTTTCAGCACTTGATGTGCGGGGCTTACATTGAAGTGCCCATTCTCCTAGGGAGAGTTATGCTACAGACTAGTATAACGTAGGTTGTTCGTATCATATTTTTTTAAAATACTCATGAATTTAGCTTATTTCTTTCCCTGGTTTAGAATTAAAGCTTCTAGCAAGCTAGCTCACAGTCGTCTACGAAAAATGTTCTCATCCGTGATTTATTGACTTATAACCATTCATCATTTTATATGAAAAGTATTTTTCATCAGGTGTGGAAGTTGATATAGCATGAATGCTTCTATCCTGAAGTTCTGCTATTTCAAACATCCTCACTTCTTAAAATTCCTAGGGCAAATGTACATGTTATACACCCATTCAAATCCTCAATTTTCTTACAAGATATTTTCAGAAGCTTTTTGGATACTTCTTTGACATTTCTTGGTCACGTGCACTATATTTCTCAAACACGTGTTTCTTATTCATATATGACATGTTTTGATATGCATTTACTTACAGTTATATGAAAGACATATTTATAATTGTAAAAGATATATTTAATAAAAATCTAATGAATTTATGTTTCCACATAAGAAGTGAGATAAACCAATTATTCAGTAGAAAGTTGAAGTGTTAAATGACATTCCTTATGTTAAATCAGTAAAATGAACAATAGTTTAATCTAACACATGCACAAACATTATATGTTATTGAATTATTAGAAGACATTTGTTAGATATGCATGTTTGTGTATGTATGTTACGATGATCTTTCACTTTAATGCATAGTACACATTCCATTGTTAAGTGATCAAGCCCCCATGTCCTTTTTTGGAGTTTCCATGTCTGTCTCCATTGTCAGTTATAATTCATCTGAGATCATGTGTGAATAAGTAAAAAGACGAAGCTATTGAATTCTAAAGGATTGCATCACATCAAGGACATACAAATTCATGATATAAACCATTTGAGGCTAGGTTACTCGGACACTTTATCTAGCCTCCCATATCTGTGTCCTACACTTCTCATATCCGTGCCCATGTCGAACACTTCTTGAATATATGCATACATTTTGTCAGACTTGTACTCAATTATATGATAAAATGTTTTAGTTTAAAAATCTCTTGGCACTTCTTGAATGTATATTGTGCACTTCACCTCAAATTTATGAAACTTGTTGGCCTTGGGACAGGTTCGTTCTTGCACATACCTAGTTCATAAGTATGGTTTTAAGGGTCGTTTGGGTATCTAGTTCAAAAATGAGCAGTTTTTCAATTTGTAATCTACTCAATAAAAGAAACATAGAAATGGTATAAGAATTCTAGTTCTCATAACATGTGAATGAAAAACAATATCGATGTCATATAGGTTATTAATTTTAATGTGTGTATATGTGTTCCCGTGTCTTTACTTTTACAATTTTGTTGTGTTCTTTGTCCGCACCCTTGTCCGTATCCACACCTGCACCTGTGTCCGTGCAACATAGATTTGAGGCCTTCACTAGTTGCAATCCTCCACAAGTAAGGTATCTAGAAAGCACAGTAACAGCTATGATATGTTTGGCCAAACATCTAACAAAGCTGCAGAACTTCTTAAACATTGAAAATATGCAACAATGAATTAAATCACTTGTTATCAGAACCCTGTGATTCTTATACTGCCTGCAGGGGCCCTGTTACACTTTAATCAGTTCCTTGTTGATTCTTGTCTGATCAAGGAGCCTGCAGTAGTTCTTTTTTTTTGTTTATTCTCATGGAAAAAAATGTGATTATCCCAGATGAAACCAATCTATTATATCATTAGTGGATCTTAACCAAGATCCTTTCTTGTTGGGGAAATTTGTTAATTTTTTTCACAGGTGTATTAAGATAATCCGTTGACTCATCATTCATCAATTTACTCAATTACTTTAGGCAGGTATTGCCATATTGAAGTGTTTAAATCACTTCATTCATGAATCTATACGTCTTTCTCTTGACAACTGGACCAAGAACGATCAAATATTGTTGTCTCGGATGATGCATTTCTATTAAGGTCCATAGCCGTTTGTGACAAGAAATTATGTGCATTTTTAGGACAACTATAAGATCTTTGTAGTTAAGAATGATTTATTTTGTTTATTTTCTATAGTCCGTTGATCCATTGTGAACGTCCTTATATTCTAATGTTGTTTGACTATTTTTTTTCCTTCTGAAGCTAGTCACATAACCAAGTATATGATGTTTCATATCATTGTAGGCGGTAATTATGTCTCAGACTAATACATCTTACATTCATTGCAGAGCCGTTATCTGCTACTAATCTTTCTGATTCTAGCAATGGCTCCAATGTGCGCATAGCATTTCAGGTATGTTTTCCCTTTGCCAATGACATCTTCAAGCAGTAATATATAACATTTTCTTACAAAATTTCAATTTATTAACACAGGGTTCACCGGGTGCATTCAGTGAGGGTGCCGCCCTTAAAGCATACCCAGAGTGTGAAACTATTCCCTGCGAACAATTTGAAGTTGCATTCAAGGTTTAAATGCACATAATCCATGATCCTCTTAATTAATTGTCTATCCCTTGAGCTATCTTAACTCCACTTCTCATCATAGGCAGTTGAGCTTTGGCTAGCTGATAAAGCCATTCTGCCAATTGAGAACACATATAGTGGAAGCATACACAGAAACTACGACCTTCTTCTCTGCCATGCACTTCACATTGTAGCCGAGGTACAATTGTCTGTTGATTATTGCCTTATGGCTCTCCCAGGAGTGAGAAAAGAGGAGCTCAAACGTGTTTTAAGCCATCCACTGGTTGGTATTTTTTATTCCTTATATAGTAACTACAAGGCATCTATATTTCATTATTTTTCAGTAACAACTTTGTATAATGGTTACAGGCACTTGCTCAATGCCAGGGTGTACTGAGCGAGTTAGGTGTCACTCAGGAGAATGCTGATGATACCGCCGCAGCTGCCCAGGTATTTTATAAAATGAATAAAAAGTTATAAACTATTTGGTTCTTTGTTATGCATTAGATGTGCAATAGCTTTATTTCTCTAATTTGCTCCCTTTTTGGTCAGATTGTTTCGTCTAAAGGATTAAGAGATGCTGGGGCTATCGCAAGTGCTCGAGCTGCATCCATATATGGGCTTGATACACTCGAAGAAAAAATTCAGGTAATGATACTTTCTTTTAATAGACTCCATTATATTATTCCGTGGAGGAAGTAGTAAACAATAGTATTCTATGCATGTATGTTTTGACCTCATTAATAAGATAATTTTATGCTAGATTTTTTTTTTGCATAAACACTAATGTAAAGCATTCATACTGGAGCTAGTTCATATCCTAGAGCAAAATGCATATATTTTGTAAAAGCAGTTACTATTTGATTTTTCTGTCATATTTTCTTCTTCCATTTAGTTAATTCCTATATATTTAAAATTTCCTACTCCAATATGAGATTGTGGGTTACATTTCTTGGCTAAATTATCATATTAGTGTTAAAAATAGTACCTAATGACCACATTGGTAATGGTATCAAAGTTATCTTCGGCGACAATAATGTATTTAAACTTGCATGATGAGACAAATACACTGAAGAATGAATTTTCCGACTATTTTTCAGGCGACCAGGTGATTTGCCACGTTCACATAAGCATTGTTTTAAATATCCCCGACATGGCCCGATATATCCCCCGATATATCTTTTTACAGGGCTTGCCGCAACCGATATGGTGTTTAAATATCCTTTACCGTTTTTTAGCTATTTTGAGTGATAAATCCCCGATATGGCCGATATATTAGCCAATATGTGGACTAATATATCTTTTTTATATAGCTTGTTCCAAAATAATATACCGTGTTTGGAATTTTTGGGCGAGATATCAAGATTTTCCCATTATATCAAATGACATTTTGCCCTAAAAAAAGCAGATCGAATGTTGCAACGTTGCTTTGCATTTTTGTTTGTTTTAGAAGGTTGATTAGTGATCCTAAACATATACTATTCATATTTTGTATGTCTAAATTTCATTACATATGTTGAGATTACATTTTAATGCATTATACTATGTATGCAAACATTCATTATGGCATTCCGATATTTACCACATATCCCCGATATTTCCCCGATATCCACAATCCGATATGAATTTTGGCCATCCGATATTTTCCCGATATCCGATATTTAAGACCTTGCACATAAGTGGCATATTTATGATGATGTGACAACTAAAGTTAGCCTCATTCAATCCATTAGAGGGGAGATTTTCAAATTAGAGTAAAAAAAAGATTAATTTTTTTAATATGAGACTTCTTTGGGGGTTCTTTATTGCTGAGCTCAAAGAACCCATGTTTTTAAGCAATGGAGAACCCCAGATTTAATAGAAGGAGAAGAAGCCCCCAAATTAAAGTATCTCTCTTTTCTTTTACCCTAATTTAAAACTTTACCCCTCTAACAGTTTGAATGAGGCTAACTATAACTGTCACATCATTATAAATATGCCACATAAGCATCACATGGCAGATCACATGAGTGGTTGCTGGAAAAGTTGGCTGGAAATTTATTTTTGGGCCTATTTGTCTCATTGTGTATGTTTAAATACCTTGTTGTCACCGTAGATAATATTAATACCAATCTGGTCATTGGGTATTACTTTTCATACTAATATGGTAATTTAGCCCATATTTCTTATTTCATTAATTTGGTATATGCACAAATCAGTGAGTTTTTGTTTTCTTGAATAATCATGGCAGGACAACCACAACAGCATGACTCGTTTTCTAATATTGGCCAGGGAACCTATAATTCCGAGGACAGACAGGCCATTTAAGGTGTTAATTCAGTTTTCTCTTCTATTTACTAAACTCTATATAGCATTTTGAGGAAAGGTTTGCATCTTTCTCCCCAGACTAGCATTGTTTTCACTTTGGAAGAAGGTCCAGGAGTTATATTTAAAGCTTTGTCAGTCTTTGCTTTGAGGAACATAAATTTGACAAAGGTGTGTATTATGTTTCCAATCTTTCTCTAATCATGTTACTCTTATGAATGTCACCATGATTTTTTTTTTGTGCAAGTGCAGATTGAAAGCAGACCGCAAAGGAAACAGCCTCTAAGGGTTGTTGATGGCTCAAACGATGGGACTGCAAAGTAATAGTTATTCTTCTTATTTCTCCTACACTGGAAAACTATTTCAAAATGATTTATCGCTATGTAAAAACTTAAAAATGTAGAGAGTAATAACTGTAAGATTTCTTTTTTAGGTACTTCGACTATCTCTTCTATATTGATTTTGAAGCATCCATGGCAGAGCCTCGGGCACAAAGTGCTTTGTGTCACCTACAGGTAAGATTTTTTCCCCTTTAAGACAAATTAAAATTGGTTATAATTTCTGAACCAATTTGTGATTAAGCATCTGATATTGCAGAAAGATTCCAATTTAATAAGCTGTTAAGTGCTTAATTACTTCTGCACATGAAGAAGAAAATAATTAAAAGTGATTATTATTTCCATGACTCTAGAACAAAATATTGTGGCTGAGGTAATGAACTGGGAAAACTATAAAGAAAGTTGGGCATCCTTTCATAGGCAGAGTTGTGTGAGTTAGCGTTTAAAGCTCAAATCTGTTAACAGTTTTTCTTGCTCTTCTTTGAAATTACACTGTTGCACTGAATTCCAAGCAATCTCTGTTTATTCAGAGCCAATAATACATAAGTTATACACTCAATAAAAGAAATAATACTGCAGGTCTCTACGCTCTACTCGAACATATTTTTTCTAAACAAATAAAATGGCATGTGATTGGTTGGATATCTGTCCTTAGCAAACTGCAATTTTAAAAGTGTTTTTCCTTTTGTGCAGGAATATTCAACATTTCTTCGAGTTCTTGGTTCTTTCCCAATGGACATTTACCCATAAGAACCTCTCTGATGGAAATATTTTGCACAGAATAGTTCAGTTTAGATCCTTGGTTTCTGTTGCAGGAGTAAGTATACAGTAGCTTCAAAACGGGAAATATTTCAGAATCAATAAATTTCCCTTTCAACCTCCAAACAATACTTAAAAGTTCCAAAAGCTGCAGTCAGATGGCTCTCTTTAAGATTTGACGGGAGCGCAGCCCTGTCATTTTTCCATTATACCTTTTGCTTTTTAGAACCAAAAAAGATATTTCATATATGTGCAGTTTGTTGGTAATTTTGCATAGAGACCAACCCGAGTTACAAATTATAATAGCAAGACATGGGTTACTGTTGTAGTATACCAAAATATTAGTTTTCATCCAGAGCTCTTTTTCAAAGGCAACATATTGAAAACTGATGCATCATTCTCCGGCTGATGAAAGTTGCATATTTTGGTCAGTATTTGTGCATATGCTTATTCCTTGATCTGAATTCTGTAATTCTGTGAATTTTTCATGTCATTTGTAATGGTTATTGTGATAACCGATAAGGGTAAAGCTGCCAGCCGTTTGATTTTGTGAAATAGCAGCGGCTAATTTTGGTATCTTGATGTCCTTCATGACATTGTGCTTAGGAAATTGCAAAGATAAATGCATGAGAAATGTTTGAATATCTTCTCAATAAATGAGAAAGTAACACACAAAAAGTTTGAAGATTGAGAGATTGAAATCATGCTCATCCATCTGGGTTGAGAGATTGAGAGACGTGAGTTGAGTGGTTCCTCTTGTAGTTCTCCTTGATACATAGTGAATTTCTTGTATTGTTATTCTGTGGACGTAGGTCGAAGCTGGTCGACCGAACCACGTTAATCCCGATGTTTTTTTCTTGATTATGATCGTTTTATATCTTGTTGATTGTGGGTTGGTTTCGGAGTTGCGCATATTGTAGTAGGCGGGGAGAGTAAAATTCCCCAACAAGTTTGTGTTGCAATCAACCACCTCTTAGTCAAAATTTTTACCAAAAATCTAAAAATATCCTTAAAAACTCACATTCAAGTCACGCAACTCATTTTGTTAAAGTTTAGGTCTCTTTAGGATATAAGTTGCGTACTTAGAACATGAAATTTTAAAGCTAATTTTGATTTTTTTTTAAGTGAGATTTTGACTAGAAAGTGATTGATTATAACACAAACTCACTTTTAAAGGTGGTTTATGTATAAATTGACGTTTGAAGGTGATTTATGTGTAGTTATCCTATTTTTAAAGTAGTTTCTAGGAGAAAACCCTGGAAATTACTGGTATTTGCGTTGGTTCAGTTGGATACTACTTAGAAGTTTTAAAGATTTAGTTGCAAATAGAATTCAAAATGGTTGGCATTAGAAATAATATGACTGATATGATAATGAGACTTTTGCTTTGGGCACTTTTCAGATGTCGCTTACATTTTCTACGTCTTTGTAAAAATTGAGCCCCAGGGGGCTTTTTCGAAAAATGTGAAGAAGATGGTATCATTATAGACTTGTTGAGTTGAATTGGTGATTTGGTAATTTTGAATAATCTTTGTTGAACAATAATGTACGGGTGGAAGAATAACTAGTAACCAGTCGATGACCAAATGTTTCTCTTTGGAAAATTTGGTAACCTAATTAGGTCAACTAATTGCTCTGTTAATGTATTGTACAGTTTAATGAACTTGTTTTTGACACTTACAAAGGCTGACATCATTCCGATTGTAGATTTCTTCCGAGGGATCCATAAAAGATATTTGGAAATTTTCCAAGACTTTTTAATACAAAACCTTATAAGCTATTAAACACCTTTTTTTTAATAAGAGTCAAGATTCAGGAATTTGGAGAATTGTAATAATCACCGTAATGTAATAAATTACCCCCTTCATCTCTATATATGTAGGCTTTTAGAATTAAATATTCTTAGTTATATTTTCATCTGTTTTGCCTATAGCTTTTATGTTATACTAGTTTTTACACACGTGCAATGCACGTGATTTAATATCATGATTAAGTATTTTTGGCAGTTTGTGCTTATTTTTTTCTTTAAACTCTTACATCCCGATTATTTTTTTATGTTTGTTTAAATGGGATACACCCAATTTAAATTTTCATGTTGATATTTGAATTGACATAAAACAAATATAATTTAAAAATAATTTGAATTTTTATATTATTTTTGACCGATATGAAACTAAGCTTTATTTGAGAAAGTATAGCATTGCAAAGTGAAAAATATTAAAATAGTGTTATACAAGGAAGGTAAATATTTAAAACCAATATGGCAAAATGATTGATTTAAAGAATGTTAAAACGATGCAAAAGTGAATATGAAGTTTATTCCTAATCATTGATAGACTTCATAAAAAAATATAAATTAAAGATTAATATTAACTCTAGTATACTTTTATATGATAAAAACATCCACATAAGAATATAAAAGTACTGAAAAAATTTCATGAAACTCCCTTCTAAAGATTTCTAATTTCACTCAAAATAATTAAACTATTCTATAAAATATTATTTTTATTTCTTCTATTTTATTTTTTATTGAGTTAAGATCAATCCTTCTTCAGGTTTATCATTTATCATTTCTCGGACAATTCTAGAGTATTGTCTTTATCATCTACATCAATTATGACATCAGGCTAATTTTGTATTTTTTATGCTATTATCTTTCCTGGGCTCGTTAATTTTTTATCATCTCATTTAACTTTACAAAGAAGTCAAATGTACTTATGATGTTCAACACAAACTGCTCAAAATATAGACTTTGATTTTTTTTTCTATTTCAATGAGAATAAATATTAATTTCATATATATAAAATTCTTTGTGTTCCTAATTTATTACTTAAATAAATTAGAAGCTATCTCTTTATTTTCCTCTAAAATGAATTATTCTGATGTGCATCCAATAAGAATTTCTGTTATTTCAATAATATTACCTTTGCTCTATCCCTGACATTTTCCATAAAGATCTAAACTTTTGCTCTATCCCTGTCATTTTCTATAAAGATCTAAACTAGATACCTGCATTATTCATTACCAATTTCTCTTAGATTATAATATTAATATTTAATTTGAAGAACACAGTATGGAATTTATGAATACTTACTAATTTTTCTTATGTCTTCCATGGAGATTTTTTCTTTGATTAGGATAAAGTTATTAAATTATTTTTTAATATAACTCATTCAGTGCTTCATTAATAGATATGTCTTATGTTAATGCCAATTCAAGTGATTCATTGACGTTTTCTGAATTTTAGATTTATTTCCATCACTTTCCCATTTGCAATGGAAATAACTCAATTCTTTTAAAGTTATCTCTAAATATTCTAATAGTTTCTCCATATGTAATTCCTTGTATTCTTTTACCCTATAAATATTATTAACGTCAAAGATTAAAGTTTCTAAATTAAAATCAATTAATGCTAAGGTATAATATTATAGTGTTTTATCATTTCTATGGATTTAAACATCTATCAATTAATGTTACGAATGTATTTTGGCTACCCCAACTTATTACTAAAATTATATGAAATTACTTTAATTTATATAGTGCCGATAATTTTTAATCTATAATATTTTTAAAAATTTTATCCATTAACCGGATGTTTTTAATCAATTCTTATTGTTTTTGTTTACCAGTATCAACTTAGACTATTCTTAGATGCTGAAAATGGATAGTAAATCCCTAAATTAGAAATTTTAATATATATATATATGAAAAATACCAAACAATTACACTTTTCTTTGCCAAGTTTTAAAATTTTAGCCCATTTTTGTGGTTTTGAACTTTGAGGGTGTGATTTATAATTTTTAAAATTTTTAAAGAGTTTTTTAAAAAATTTACTTTTAAGTTTGGTAGTTGTAAATTCTATGTTTCATGTGTTGGTGGTAATTTTTTAAATATTATTATATTTCTTGTAACTTTAAAATTTTGAGGGTGTCTTTTGTAATTATTAAAACTATAGATTAATTTTGAAAAATATTAAATTTCAGCAGTCTACCAATCGACGAATTTGATGTGTGCTAGTTAAAAATTTTGAAAATTTAGAGTTTTTTTTACGATTTTTAAATTTTGAAGGAGTTTTTAAAAAAAATTGAGGTTAATTTTGGCAAATTTTAATTTTTTAGGTGTCTAAGGGTAATATCTTGAATTCATCGTATTTTATTTACAAATTTTAGAATTTTAGGGTGGTTTTTTATAATTTGAACTTTTGAAGGTGTTTTTATAATTTTTGAGATATTGAGGGTGTTAATTAAAAAATTTAAATTTAAATATCAAAAATTTTAGGTGTATCATGGTAATCTCTTGAATTCATCTGTGTTGTTTGTAAGTTTTAAAATTTTAGAATTTTAATGTGCTTGTCTGTAATTTAAACTTTTGAGGGTGTTTCTATAATTTTTGAGACATTGAGGTGTTAACTGTAAATTTTAAATTCTTTGCAAACTGATGTTAATTTTTTAATTTCATGTTTTTTATTTTATGTTTTGAGACATTTGGATGAGTTTTATAATTTTGAACTTTTCAAGGTCTTTTATGCAATTTCAAAACTTTTTATGATTTTTTTGCAATACTTCATGTATTATAATATGTTATCTACTTGTATTTTCTTTATCTTAACAAACTAATATAATTTTTATGTTTTATATATTTTATTAATATTAGTTTTTTTAAATTGTTAAGCTAAACATGGTTCACATAGGATTAGGATAAGATATGATTATGATTAGGATAGATTAAGATATAAATAAAATATTCAAAATAGTGAAGGGTAATATTGACCATTAAAAATTAGAATTTGATTATAGATAATGTAGTTCAAACTATAAAGGGGTATATTTGTCTAAAAAAGATTTTTCGAACTCGTGCTTTTAAAGAGAGTATGATATGTGTGATTTGAGTTGATGTGTGTTCTATTTTTCAATCTTGGTAGAATACACTTCCATTCCAGTTGCCATTCCTACACCTTGTTAGAATATGAAAGTACAATCCTCAAAGTTTTGGTGCCATTAATTGGCTAGGACTTTAAAACACTTACATCCTCTAAAAGAACTCATACTATATAGTTATACTATAAGACTACAAGTAGTTTAAACATCATACTCCATTTAAAAGTAGGAACTAAGAAACGACTTTCATTAGTCGTTATTACCCCTGATCCATTTTACTAATTTCAAATGAAATTAATTAAAGCTAATTTAATTATCCGAACATATATTAATCTCCTGATATATATTTACTCCTAATTTGAATAATGAAAGTATATTTTTAAAAAGTTGAATCTTTAATTCTTAAATCTCTAAAAATGAGCTTTGATCCATTTGAAAAAAGCTTTCTTAATTAACTAGAAATATCAATATGAGAAAACTTTAAAATTAGATAAATAGCTTCAAGATTTGCTAATAGTTATATACAACTTACTTTCCTTCATATATGATCAAAC